GGTGGGTCCGGATTTCGACGGAAAAGTAGTCGAATCGACAGGGGTGAATCAGGGGACCACAAAACTGTTTTTGGTTTTGTCAGAAACAACCTCTGTACACAGAAACTTGAGTTTTAGTAAGAGCTAGTGTCTCTTTCAACGGGGGAGGATAGAAATCAACAGGGAAGAACCACAGCACCACAAAAACCATAAAAAACCGCCCCCTTGGGTGCACAGCAAAGGAAGCTTCTCATAGAGTCAGTACAGAGAAACATTGGACCAGCGTTGGTTATTGTCATGTCAACTAACTCACCTGTTATGTTGGGTAGAATGACTCCAGACTTCTTTGCTCATGTCATGAACATTTCCAGTCGGTGTGTTCCTGCAACCAAATACAACGGTACATTTAGCACTCTTTTTTAAAACCTTTCTCTCATTTATTACTCAACAATCATTAACTATTAATTACAGATAATTTACTCATAGCACACACATTTAAATGCCTCTCCCCGTTCACTGAATGACTATGGTCTTTCAAACAACCACTTTGGCACTGGACTCAAGCATTAAGCATAAAGTGTACGTAACATGAAGTAATACATTTTTTCTGTTCGACAAGAATAATACAGAGTAAAATATATTATATATGATACTATGATAGTACACTCGAGTTCACCTATTTGTAAATGATCAACAACAGTATATAACATTCTGCATGGAATAGAGGAGTGTTCAACACCTTTTTAACAAATCTCACAGTGAGCCAAGTTTACATAACGGGCATAATTTACTCTGCTCGAAAAATTACTTACAACTTGTGTGTTTAAAACGGAGCCACTGCAGCACTAACCTCCTCGATAACCGGAACAGAAAAATTCAACATTCCGGACCGTAAACAATCAAGCACTATACCTTGCGATTAATATCGAAAAGCGGCGCTATCCACCATAAAGTTCTGATCAAAGTCCTATGACGATACTTTAAATGGGTACGTATTATTAAGCAGGAAGACGCCGACTTTTACTGTTTGTTTACGTTTTCACCCTAAAGGCGCGGGGAATGCGGGGTGGGAGGGGAGGAGAGGGGTAGGAGGGAAGTAGGGAGCCTGGAGGGAAGTGCTGGGGGGGTAGGCAATACGTGCGTGTGGCTCGTGGCCCCCGCGACCCCTTGCGTGTGTATGAAGGCGAGATGAGTTAATCCTGGACCTCTGTTTACAGTGTGGTGTCCACAGACTTAATTTTGGCCGAAAACATGTATTCTATAGTCGGTTCGGATTAAGACAAAACTGCCCGCGAGAAGGAATCGTGCTGCTAGGTTTGGACCGTAATAGAATAATAAATAAACTGACCAATTGTTGGAGAGTCGGAACGATGCATGTACTGTATTGTAGTTTTCTCTCTTAATCTATTAAAGCAAAGATTTATTAAATTACGCTGTCGTAAAATCGCGGCAGATTAGCTAGGTTTGTTAATTTCCTCATAAACAGAGAATGAAAATAAGTTATACTTATCGTAGGGTTCTGACCCTTTTTCAAACCACGTGCAAGTTCAGAACTACAGCAAATCCTGTTTTGAGTGTAGTAATTTTAACTCGGAACCCTACACCATGTAGGCTTGTTCAACTTTTACATGGAATCCGATGGTCCCTTCGAAAATGAAAAGTAGGTGCTTGCCTACATAAATCACCAGAAAGACTAGAATGATGCGCAGCGTCATCTCCTATTGATAGCCATGCAGAAATTGTAGGGAAGAAATTGATCACTTTGAAGTGATACTGTGGTTTCCAATCACAAGCTAGGGTCAATCTTTGGGGATCTGAGGTTACTTCATAAGACATACACTTGGGCTTCAACTTTTATTTATTTACTATGCAGGGAATTTTTACAGTAAGGATTTTTACCCTCTATGAGTTCGGTGCATACTTTAATTTATTCTTGTAACGTTTTGGATGAATTCCATATGCTTTCAGTCTTTCATCAGATAACTCCACTTGCTTCTTTTCCATTTTCCCTTCTTTACTATCCATGCGCCACTTTCTGATTTGTTTAGATTTTCGAACTTCATCAGCATTGTGCTTTTTCTTTTTATTACTAACATGCTGAAGATCTTCATTAGTATCAGAATGTTTCCGTTTGCCTTTTTTCTTTCCATTTTCCTCAGGGACTATTAATGTCTGGGCTTTATCTGAATTAGTAATGGCTTGATCTAATTCGGAATGTTCTTTCTTTGTTTTCTTTTTCTTCTCTTTCTTTTCTTTATTCGAAGTACCAGCCATTGGGTCAACTGAGGTCGGATCAGTCAATGTATCATCTTGCACTTTTTCTGATTTAACAGATTTATCTTTCTTCTTTTTCTTCTTTTTGCCAGGAGTGGGAGAAGAGTCTGTTTGATCATTGTTTTGAACCTTAGCATCAATTTTGAAATCTTCACTTCTTAAAATCTTTGTTTCTGAAGCTTGGGTTTGTAGTTCATCTTCTCCAGCATTTGAAGTCATGTGTAAGGTAGCTGTCTCATTTAGTTCATTCTTCATTTTCTTCTTTTTCTTTTTCTTCTTGCTCTCCTCAGGTTGTGTGTTGTCTTCAATCCTACATACACAAAAAAATATGATTAAATCAATGTAAAAGCACGCAAAACATCCTAACTAACAAGCACACCTAAGGATGCTAAAACCTACTCATTTCTGTAAAGGCTAGGCAAAATTTTCCTCTTTAATTCTTCATCTTGAGCCTTTTGCCCATAAACCTTAGCTTCATACTTTTCAACACTATCTGGACGAATTGAATAGGTCTTTTTTAAAGATGCCCACTGATTTAGTTCTTTGTCGTCTGCTAGCAGAATCTGGAGAGGATATCATCATTAATATGAGTTAATATGAAAATAAGACTATTAGAAATACAGCATTGATGTTGATATACCTCCTCTATTGTCAAACCAAAGCTGTTCGGAGCAACAGTTTTGTATTTAAATCGGCATGGTATGTCACCAATTAGATCCTCATAATCCATTCCATAGTATTCATCTACATATTGTTCAAAGGTCTTATCATTAGGATCAAAGACTGGTTTCTCCTTCCGCACCAGCCTGCCAAATCGTGATTGCCTTTTTAATTTGCGTTTTTCCCTAGCTGACCGATGACCAGCAGCTTTCTCTTCTTTTCGTAGAGCTTCTGTAGCTGGATCATAGTCACAATCCATCTAAAACAGAAATTAAAGTAGATTAGGAAAATGTTTAAGGAGCTCTACCTGAAAGTTGGATTGAACTTAAAAGTGGACTCTTACATTGAATTCTTCGTCTTCACAAAATGGACCTTCATCTGCATCCCCTGTTGCATCTGCCAGTGCAGGATCAACATTTTTTTCTGTACCATCCCACTCGTCCCAATTATCTGTCAAATTAATGTTATTACCAAAGACAGAATTATATTTTTAGGCTTGTTCAAATGAGAGAGTTGTTACTTACAATTGTCATCATCAATGAGTTCCTCCTCCAGGGGAGGTAAATTCAATCCTTCCTCATCCTCTGCATCCTCTGCACCTTCATAATAATCATCATTAAAAAGTTCTCTCATCTTTTTGTCATGTGCTTCAGGGTCAAACTCTTCTTCCAGCTCTTCAGGCTGAAACAGAACTTTAGATTAAGTAAAAAGAAAAAAAAGTAAAATATGATAAGGATAAGGATTAGCAACTTACCTCCAACCCTAACTCATTATTGCCTGTAATTGATTTGATTTTCTCAATCTTTTTAAGGATTTCTTTTCTCTTTAGAGCTTTTAAAACTTTAAGCTCCTCTTTCTTCTTCTGCTTCTCCTCCTCTTTGCGCTGTTTTACAGCATCTCGTTTTTCTTTCCTCCTGGTATCTTTTTGGCGAAGCGACTGTTCCATTGTTCGAGGATACCTTTTCAACTAACAGAAACAATAGAGTTACTATTTCATGCAACAATATTTTATGAAATAGTGTCAAAATGTGGGTACAAAACCTAATAGGCCATCTTAAACAGAAAAATAATTACATAAAAAAAGAGAGGACAGAACAACAAACAAGTTTGTACTTACAAACTCTCTATCTGGTTCCTCATATCTAAAATTATACTTCCTCTCAAACTGATTCATGTATTCTTCCTGATAATCTTCGTCTGTTACATTTCCATCATCGAGGGTTCCATCGTTTTCGAGGTACCTTAATGATAAAATATTGAAACACAAATAAAATGAGCACTTAAATTCTGAGAAAAGTATATGCCACATCTTGGTTCCCATGTTACCTTTTATTTAAAATGTAATCACGTAGGAATTTTTCCCCATCATCCAGTTTAGGGTCATTCCACATGTTTTGCAAAGGCTTTAGTGACTCTTCAGTTTCTTTATCAGAAAGTTCTTTTCTTTCACCTTTCAGCCATTCGATGTAGTCCTCTTCCTCCCTTTCCTGGAAACATCAAGATATGTTAATTTTTTGATTTACACATCTCTTAAAATTTTTGAATACACCATAAAGGAAGTACAGTATTTTCATATGTGGAAGAAATAGTATAGCAGCACCTTTTCTTCCTTAGATTTCTCTTTCTTTGTAAGGAGAACTCCTTCATCGTCGCTGCTATCATCCTGCAGTGCTTTTCTGAAACTATCTTTCAACTGCTTTTGTTCCTCTACATATGAAGGGCTCTGATCTCTTTTCTCACTCTGTTCAATGTCACTGTCTAAAATAGAAATTAACTAAATAGCACACAACAACAGGGCAAAAAAAGAAAATGTAACAAATTCATTAAAAAAAAAAAAAAAAAGGTTATCAATATAAAGGTAGGAGCATTACCATCATCACTAAGTTTACCACCCTTTTCTGTTATGAGTTTTCTTTCATAGTCTCGAAGAAAAACAGGTTTATTCTTTTCTTCCTTTCTTTTACGCATTCTCTCCACAGGATCCAAATTGCCATTCTCTTTTTCATTCTTAAAAAAAGTTACGCTGGGATTGTAAATTTTTGGATTCTTGGTTTTTAAGCTTGATATAACTTCAAAGAAGTCTTTACTTAGTACTTGCTTAAGCTCCTAAAAACATGAAATAAAATTGAAGTGATTACAAATAAAGAAGTGAAGGGTAAAAATTGTAGTAACCAATGATAATGATACCTCCGGATCTTCATCATCATCTGAAGAGGAGCTTGATGCAGATTCATCAGCATTGCCATACTTGTCCTCGACTGAAAACGTAGAATGAGAAATCAAATACACGCCGCCAAGATAAAGAAGGAATGCAGCATCGTTTCAAAGATGGTGTATAGACGAAACTTTAATGAAAACATTAGGACAAAATGAAGATGTGGAGCATGCTATTGAGAGGTTATAACAGTAAGTCTGGCAAAGTTACCACAGTACGGCAAATTTCACATACGTTTTCTTTTGATTTCAGCTTCTCTCCATTCCTCGTAGCGGTGGGCATAATCCTTGTTAATTGTTAAGCTCAAATCTGTATCATCTTCGTCAGAATTTTCGTCAAACAGGTTGCGTTTACCAGACATGTCGCAGGGTTGAGCTCTAAAATGTGGCTATACCGAGTAGAGCAGACGTCTTTAGGGAAGGCATTATTCACACGAACTCATTCGATTGGCTTCCAGAAGTACATGGAAAGTCCAAACAAAACTTAATTTTTGGGAATATTTGCATTTTATATATTCTAACTTATGTGGCTGTGCTATTATATGCTAATATAAAATATAAATTGATTTTTGTGAGGCTTTAAAGTTAATTTGTATCATCTTGGTTAAAAATTTAAAGTTCTGTCACAGTTTTAGAAATTAACTTGAACATAATAAGCAACGTGCCCCTGGTAAACAAACAGTAGCCCCGATAACCTGAATCAGGAACATGACCCACGTAATGAAGTGTATGTTAGGCTCATGTCCATTTCACAACTGTACTTAACTTGCAACCGAGCCGTCTCACCTGTTCCGACTCTTTTTCTGCTCAGAGAGAAGTTTTGTTTAAGCGACCATGTCTTATCTTGTGTCATTACAATGTGTCCCAAAGCTATCCAAAGTATTGCTGTTCCTAGTGCTCTTCACCTCATTTTTGTGTGGAACAGCGTTTTCGGGTGATTCATCAGCAAATAGTAACATTAGGTTGAATTCTTCTCAGTCTGCCAATCAGAGTGGTTCAAATGTGGTGAATTCAAGTTTTCAAAAATCTGTAGTATCCCAGTCCTTGTCAAGTCAAACCAACTCCAGTTTGGAGCTTCCTAAACAGTTAACCAATTCTAATAGTGACCCATCTAAGTCTGATTGTAAAACGGAGCCCTGCCCATCTGCTGGTGTGAAACAGAATGATTCTAAGTCATTAAAAAATACTACAAATCAAGAATCAACAAATCCGGAAGAGGGTTCAGTTGGCCCTAATGATCCAAGCGCAGACAAGAAACTAAATCCAGAGGCTTTGATGAGAGGATTTTACGTTTTTGTTGGACTAAGCGCAATAGTCATGGCATATATTGCTTGGAAAAGGTAATTAAATTTCTGAAATATTATTTGCATTTACAATAAGTTTTGTGTTAGTATTTATCAATTTAATGATATTTTTACAGTTTTGGAAAAAGACCAGCACAGGTTCACAGGTACGGTGTCATAGCTAATCGAGAAGATTTGGAAATGGCACCTCTTGATTCTGATGAAGGGGATGATGATGACACAACCCATTTTGACCTCAGCAAGCATAGACTGACTTGAGTAAAGGTTGTGGGGCTCTGACTGTTCAAAATTATGTGTTGTATTGTGGTAAGAGTCAATATTAACTAGAGGACACACTCCTGTTGGAAACTTGTTGCTATTCACATTCTCCCAAAAGTTAGCTTACTCTTAAAATGCTTCTAATAATGAGACTGCTGTTTATGTTCCATATGTGAAGTTCCAAATTTACGTCTGTAAATGACTAATTTAATGTGAGCCAGATGTCCTGAATGGGTCTTAGTCTACAGCTATGTACCTGACACTATAGATTGATAAAGATGCTGGTTGCAGCTCAAAACTTGTGATTATTACCTAAGACTTCTAAGCTTGTTTAAGTTTGTTTCTTACAATGTTTATTTTTATGTAATTTTTATGTATTTGCCGTGAGCCAGAAGATGCCTTTTAATATGACGTGGTCCCGTAATCATGTTGTGAAGATTTGTCTCTTAAAGAGTATAGTAGTGTTCCCACTTAAAGATATGCTAAAAATTGTTACTGTAATTTTGAGCCTACATGTTGCATATGAGGGACCAGAATGAATGCAGTAACCTCTTGTTGTGGGCTTCATGTGATAATTTAGAAAAACTGAACCGACAGATTAGGTTCCAATCAAAAATCATAAAACTACAGGCTAATTTTAAGGGGTAGTTGCACTAATCCAGACATTTTCTCAAGGCAATACGAATCTTATTGTATCAAAAGGTGTGGTGTCACATTGACCCACAGTTTCATGCCAGAGTTCCAGTTGGTAGTTTCCCTCAGTGTGCAAGCTCAGAAAACAGATTTTTTTAGAAATTTGTCAAATTGACGTTACATTCAGATGTTCAATTTCACCAAGACAAATCACAGGTTATTTCTGTGATGTGACTTTGGTATAAATAAATTAGGCATTTTTCAGCATATTTAAAATTAATAACTTTCATAAATATTAATGCCAAATTCGAGGTTTTAGAATTCAAAACTTACAGCAAAATTTTCAAAAATATTAGAAAAATGAGTTTAAGTTTGCTTTTTAATTCGGGAAGCACATTTCAGCCTATACTGTAAAACCTGGACGAGAGTTGCTTGAGACTGAGGTTTAAGCCTATTAAACCCAGGTATTCTTTATAACAAGATACTTTGTTATAAAAATTTTGGTTGGTTCCCTAGAAAACTCACTACCGGTATGTAAGGAGATATTCTTACTATCCAGGTTTGTCTCTCAGGAACCATTGCACCTGGAAGGCTTCGGTGATTTAAGCTCAATAGGCAAAGTAGCCATTAGGCAAAACCAGAAAATTTTCGTCTAGGTTGGTCACTGTGACACTAACCCGTGTGTAGATAAAAACTCAAATGGATTATTGTTTATCGGTTTAACAGCAAGAAGATCAGTCATTCAAGATTTTGCCTGCATCAAGTACACAGCTTGTGGAATTGAATTTCTACCTCTTAACATTGTATGCCTCAAAATGCATGAGGATACAAGCAGTGTACTTATTGGATGGAAAGAATGCTTAATAAACTTCTAATTAAACTGAAATTTCTATTGCATTTTTTTCATGTCTAGGAGCTGACTTAACTCAACCAATTTGCAATGATTTGGCTGCATGTACACAAGTAGTAGAGATAAGTGGAAATTACATCAGAATGATAAAATATTTACACAATTCTCATGTTCAAAGTCACAGCATTCATTTTGAGACTAAAACTTGATGGTAATCCTGCATATTTTTTTTTTACTGTCTTGCAGGCTGATAGAAATCATTTTTGTGTCAATAGGCATGACATCAGTAGACAAATCACATTGACCAACATTACAAATGCTTGGGTATCTGCTACTTGGGTTAAAAAACTATGAATACCTACTGTGAATGTCTCCTAAATATTTCATGCAATAGGGGGAATTACATTCTATCTTTCTTGTAAGTAAGCTTTTCATTACCTACACATTATGTGCATTACATTTTGTACTATTTTGAAGTTTACAGTTGCCTAGATCAGAATCAGAACTACACATGATATAATGTTGACATACGAGCTCTATGCAATTATGGTTTTGAATTAGTACTTTGTCTACAACATAGGACGCTAAACAGGCATTTCATGATAACAATTAATTTATATGTTAAAGTTAAGGCTGGCTAAGTCTTTAATTAATGCCATATAAAATAGAAATGCAGAATGGAGTTCACTTGTAAATGCCTCACCAGTTCTTAAAACAAGACAAAAATCTTTCCGTTAATACTAACACACATGGAATATCCATACACGATACAATCACAAGTAAATCACAATTTCAGAGGCAGTATGCTGTTACTCTACAACACTGGTTAAGACTAGTGGCTCACACTCATTGAGTATACATCTATTCACAGCAGGGACTTTGAAATCTACTTTAAAAATGGACAATATAATATGAATAGGAAAACTGAAACATCAATGACTGACAGGCCCCACAAAAAAATATTAGTTCATTTAACCTAAAACAGGCACTTATATGAGTGTTCTTCAAACAGTATCTATAATACTGTACAAGCAATAGAAAAAAAAAACTAATCATGACAGGATATCCCAGAAGTAAAATAAGACATGTGGAATGACAAAAATACATTTATGAATTAACATATTTTCAAACTGAACAAGCAATTAATATACTGTGAAAACAATAATAATTAAAAACAGAGATACCATAGTCAAAACGTCTAGATAGTTAATTAGAATTGTATCCTTTTTAGTAGCCCAAACTCTAGTCATCACAATAAAATCTATGCTGCTAATAGCCAACCCTGAACCAAGGCTGTGCAAAAGATCTTCATTATACCATTCTCTATATGATGTGGCCGCTTCCATGGGCTGATATTTCTAGCCTTGAGAAGTTGTGTCTGTGCGAAAGAAAAAATTACTTAGTTGAGGGAACAAAACATAAAAATGGCTGTTAATATTAATCAGTTAAATAATTAGGCATAGACGCCCGCCTGACCCGGCCGGAAATGTGTATATTAGCATAATGCTGGTCATAAGCTAAGAGGTGACACCAAGAGATGGTTTAATGGTTTGATGAGGTTCAAGGGCTATTTTCAATTTGCAGAGCAACTGGATTAAGTAAAGAGTAGATCCTACCTAAGATTTTAAGGTTTATGAGAACTTGTATAACTGTTATTGAGTGTGACATGATCCATAGGTTAAAATATACTGATTATGAAAATACTAGAAAATAATTATTTGAACATAAGATTGATAC